TTTTAAACGTTTCTTATTGAAGTCTAAATCGTATTTCTTTTATTGTAAGGTTAAATTAATTTAAGTCGGGTTATTTTTCTTAAAAAGAAAAACGAGCCTAGGAGAGGACCCTTATAATGACGTTTTGCTCCGTCCTGGACCATTGTTAAGTCACAGCTGGGCGAGACAAGTAGAGAAAGCCTAAAACAAAACTGTAGGGAGTTGGTAAAGGAATAGTAGTAATATTAGTGGTAGCAGCAGTAGTAATAAAGTAGTGGTGATGGTTGTAGTAGTAATAGTAGTAGTGCTAGTGGTGGTGATGGTAGTTTAGATTAGATTATGTTAGGTTACTTTGTTAAATTAGATCAGGTTAAAAAAAATCATAAATGTATATTTGACTTCAAATTAAAAAAAAAATAGAAACGTCTGGAAACGAAGTGGCCGAAGAAAAATTAGGAGACGTTAAAAATGTGAACATTTATCAGTTGGTGCGAGAATAAGATGTGTTTAGTCCCGATGGTTAGAAAGTGTATAATGTCCCTTTGTCTCTTTAGAAAGGTGGGGTGACTATTGATAAATTGTGACCTAGATAATGGCGAGGCTTCAGGAGTGTGGTGGGGAGAGTTTCAAATGTAGACTATCCTCAGAGTTTAATACTGTAAACTATCATCAGAGTTCCATATTGTAAACTATCCTGTTTCATACAGTAGACTATCCTCAAAGTTCCATATTGTAAACTATCCTCAGTTTCATATTGTAAACTATCCTCAGTTTCATATTGTAAACTATCCTCAGTGTCATATTGTAGACTATTCTGAGTTCCATATTGTAAACTATCCTCAGTTTCATATTGTAAACTATGTTCAGTTTCATATTGTAGACTATCCTTAGAGTTCCATATTGTAAACTATCCTCAGTTCCATACTGTAAACTATCCTCAGTTTCATATTGTAAACTATGTTCAGTTTCATATTGTAGACTATCCTTAGAGTTCCATATTGTAAATTATCCTCAGAGTTCCATATTGTAAACTATTCTCAGTTCCATATTGTAAATTATCCTCACAGTTCCCTATTGTAAACTATCCTCAGTTCCATATTGTAAACTATCCTCAGTTCCATATTGTAAACTCTCCTCACCGTTAAATATTGTAAACTATCCTCACAGTTTCATATTGTAAACTATCCTCAGTTTCATATCGTAAATTATCCTCAGTTTCATACTGTAAACTATCCTCACAGTTAAATATTGTAAACTATCCTCACAGCTTCATATTGTAAACTATCCTCAGTTTCATATTGTAAATTATCCTCACAGTTCCATATTGTAAACTCTCCTCACAGTTAAATATTGTAAACTATCCTCAGTTCCATATTGTAAACTCTCCTCACAGTTAAATATTGTAAACTATCCTCAGTTCCATATTGTAAACTCTCCTCACAGTTAAATATTGTAAACTATCCTCAGTTCCATATTGTAAACTCTCTCACAGTTAAATATTGTAAACTATCCTCAGTTTCATATTGTAAACTCTCCTCACAGTTAAATATTGTAAACTATCCTCACAGCTTCATATTGTAAACTATCCTCAGTTTCATATTGTAAATTATCCTCACAGTTCCATATTGTAAACTCTCCTCACAGTTAAATATTGTAAACTATCATCAGTTTCATATTGCAAACTATCCTCTAGTTCAATGTTGTAAACTATCCTCACGGTTCCATACTGTAAACTATCCTCATAGAGTTTCATATTGTAAATTTTCCTTATTTGACCACACTAATTTTCGTACGTCATCTTCAAAGTCAACTTCGTAATGTTTCGTGTAAACTTACTAATGTAATTTTCTTATTTGTAGTTAAGTATACGTTTTATAGGTTTGTTTATTTAACCTAAGCTAAGGTAAACCCATTAACTCAAAATAAGTCGTAAAAAGCGACTGTCAGTAAATAAACAGAAGAATGGACCGTGACTCGACCCCCGTGATGCTAGCAGGCAATGATACAGCGTTGGCCCAGCTATGTAACATTACCACGGTTCGAGTCCATTAAATCGTGTTTAACAAATATGCAAATAATAATTAAAAAACGACATAGACACGTCTGGTAAGGCGGTGGCTCCACAGCACCAGAACACGTACAAATCACCCCGAACATCACTTTCACTGCGAGGCTGTTTTATATATCGAGCTTCGTTGGGTGTTTGACGGTGCGTCTTGGTTCAATAAAGGATATATAAATAACGTGTTAAAAATATCCCACCAAGACAGGACTCGCAGGAAAGGATTCAAGTTGGACAAATCTAGATTCAGAAAGGATTTCGGGAAGTAGTGGTTTGGCAACAGAATTGTGGATGAGTGTAACAATTTTTTTTTTTTTTTTAATTCGCCGGTACTCTCCCGGCCCGGGTCTTTTCCAAGTAGTGGTGACCCGGCCTTGGCTCCCTATCTGGGGAGTGTCTCGAGACTTAAGTCTCCCATGGGAGGAGGTACAAGTACCCCCTCATCTTTGGGACCAACTGTCCCCAGGCCTAGCCACATTCCCCGCCCTCACGGGGCTCGTAGGGAGAAGCTAGGCCTCTGGTCTGCCATCTGCCCCGCCCTAAAAGGGCTCGTGGGGATGGCAGTCTTATGAGCTGCAGATGGTAGCAAGCTCAGGCTCTTCTTTGTAACAAATTGCCAAGTAGCATTACTGAGGCTGAGGGACTGATCACTTCAAATACTTTTTTCTCCAAGGTTGATGGACTGATTACAAATACTTTTTTCTCCAAGGTTGATGGACTGATTACAAATATTTTTTTCTCCAAGGTTGATGGACTGATTACATCGTCTTATTTCATTACTACTGCTTCTTTTGTATTTGACTGAAGAAGCATACTGTGTAGGCGAAACGTTTCATCAATAAAAATGCCCATCTGCTGCACGTGTGTCTTAATCTTTATCTTGTTGGTATTTTATACCATTTTTAACAATTCTTGTGGTCTTGACAATAGTCTGGGGCAGAACGAAGCGACCGTCATGAGGTTTCTCTCCCAAGTGCAGGCAGGGTTTTAGTGAAGTGAGTTATGACTATTCTATTTCTAATGTTTTTTCTTAGCTGTTAAACACATTGTGTCCTGGGTGGAATCTCTTGATCAAAACAACTGACTACAAGACAATACAACGATGCCTTTATTTTTTAGTTTCACCCACGAGTGGGCTTTATTACGCACTACTTACAATAAAGATTTCACTGCATTAAGTGTCTTTTTTATAATACCTGTCGGCGGTTACGCCTTTATTAAATGTAAAGGAATTGAAGCATCTGTCTCGTTCCTCGGATTAAAACCTATTCCCCCACTCCCATTCCCTAGGCGCTGTGTGACCCTACGAATTTTGCGTTTCCCCATTAATAACAGCAGCAACAACAATAACAATAACAATAATAAAAAAAAACAATGGTTATAAATGACCATAATTTTTAAAGGGGTGGACCGGTAAGCCAGCGGAAGGCCTCGGTCAGATGACCAAAAGCTCCAAAGGCGGGTCATCATCTGACTAAGACCCGCGTCAGGAAACATTTGTCCTGTTTCCTGACGAACCTTACCTAACCTAACCTAATAACAATAATAATAATAATATTAATAATACAACTAATAATAATAATACAACTAATAATAATACAAATAATAATAATAATAATAATAATAATAATAATAGTGCTGTGGCCGAGGTTTGTGAACCGGTTACACTAGTTAATGAGGGTACTGACGTGACTGATGTTAGAAAGATTATCATGTTTGATATTGCAGTGGTGAATGTTGTTGATGCTTATATCACCTACCCATGAAAATAATCATTATTATTATTATTATTATTATTATTATTACTACTACCACTACTACTACCTGTAGGTCGTTCCGAGGGTCAATGCCCCCGCGACCCAGTCCTTGAGCATTTATTATTATTATTATTACTATTCATACAGCGCCTTGGGCGGTGATTAGGTTTGATCTTAAAAGGAGGGTAGCTGCACTTTCTTGGATGAGGAGCACCTGAGCAGCATCTAAGCTGGTCAGGGCACGAATATGGGTCATACCCCACTCCTGTGAGACAGGCGAGAAGTATACCATATATATGTGTATACCATGTGGTTGATGAACAAGACAAATGTACAACACTGGCGTTTTTATTTTTGGAAGCGTGGTTTGTGAAAATAAATCTCAAAGGTGTTACACACTAGGCTTCTTTGACTGCGTGATGTCCAGGCGAAACGTTTCTGAAAATAAATCTCAAAGGTGTTACACACTAGGCTTCTTTGACTGCGTGATGTCCAGGCGAAACGTTTCTGAAAATAAATCTCAAAGGTGTTACACACTAGGCTTCTTTGACTGCGTGATGTCCAGGCGAAACGTTTCTGAAAAAAAATATCAAAGGTATTACACTCTAGGCCTCTTCGACTGCCTGATGTGTAGGCGAAACGTTTCCGACAATAAAGATGCCAAGTGTTGTACACGTATCTTATTCATAAACTTGTCGGCATTTTATACCTACATCATTATAGTGATATGATGTGTCTAAGTTGGTTAGTAGTTATTTGCTCATCGACTGCACGAGGATCATTTAAGATGCATTACATCTGTTCAACAGCAGTCAAGAACACTTTATCTCCAATAAGATAGGCATTAAGGAGAACTCTCGGTGTATCTATATAGATATACATCGCTCGGTGAATATATTGTGATGGTAGTGCTTTATCAGGAGAAAGTTTAATTTTTCCTGACACTGTGATGGCCCGCTCATTAGAACTATGATCATGTGGCCGAGGTCTCCACTGCACACCTCGTTACCGAAAACCAATGAAGAGAAAATGATAAGAGGGGGAGATGGTACTCAACTTTTATTGAGAACTTGTAGTACAAGAATAAAATTGCTGAGGTTTTTCTTTTGTGAAACTAGAAGTGTCTCGATGTGATCCATTTGTATTTTTCTGATTTATGTATTAGTCGCCCTTTTGACCTTTTTTTCATTTGCCCATTTCAGTGTTCTTAAGTCATGAAGGTGGCTCTGTTATGGCTACGATACGTGACGTCACAAAGTTCTGATGTCACCCAGTCCAGGCTCCAGCACCCTACGTCAGTCCTCTTTCTGGTGTTTCCAAGCGCTGACGTCGCTAAGTCCTGACATCACAGTCCTTGAAGAACGCTGAATTCTGACGCCACCACTGGCGTCATCGAATCCTTACAGCATCGTAATGTCTGACGTCGAAGATGAATCTCCGACGGAGCAGTCTAGCGGGGCTTCAAGCTGGACCCAGTTTTGCCACCATGAAGACCTCTTTTCTCAGGCTCACCGGATGCTGATTGGCGAGGACGAGGTAGATGAAAAGCACCGGTCGAGGCGAAACGCCGAAAGGGACACTGTCTCAGTACTGGTCACTTCCGGCGCTGGGAAAGAGGTCATTAAGGAAGGGTCACCATCGGGAGGCGACGATGACTCAAAGACGAAAAAAATGGAAACGAGAGTTCGGAAGATGAAGCGGAAAGCTCCGGCATCAGCAGCGAGTAGGCCTGCCGTTGTACTGAAGACACTGCCGCCGCTGCTACGGATGCCAATGCCGCTTCGCGCTACGCCTCCGGTGCACAGTGGGGCGGCGAAATCATCCCCCCCACGACACTCTTCATCACCAAAACGCTGTAACACCACCCCTCCCGCTCGGAGAGTCTCCCCGCCCCCGCTCCTCCCACTATCATCAACACACTTCACCTCCACGCCTACATACTCCACTTCTCCATCAGCCTCACCACCATCAAAACGCACCACCCCCTCCACTTCACCGCTCTCTCAACGCATTCCAATGGCGCCCATCACAAAGCCTCTCCTACCACCTACAACTTCCACAGACTGCTACTCGCCAACGCGAGAGGAAATGGAAGAGGAACTTCGACTAAAGAGAAAGGTAACTATTATTATATTCATGGGGAAGTGCTTAATTAAACCTTAAGATTCATTCAGTGCTTGGGAAATGGGAGACAGCCATGTTTGATCTGAGGAAGTGGAGGATACCTCCAACTCATTCGATGAAGTCCTTTACCACCATCAAGGAACCCCACCCCTCATCCGTAAGAAGCTACGGTATACGACGGAAGTTAAAAGTCTTATATATACGTGTTATAGGTTGCAAGAATTTTAGCTCTATAACATACTAGAGTATATTTTTTTCTTTATATCGAATCTCGTAAGAACACTAATGTTGCTTCACTATTTTTTTCCTAGTGTGGTCCTAAAGACTATGTGATAGATCTCTTTCCTCTTTCTCATTGATTTTTTCTAAATATTTTGTATTTAATTTAGCTTTCGTTCCTATTATAGTTTAATTTTGTTAATAATTTTATGCTATCTGCATTAAACATTATTTTTTTTCCATTTACGTTTGGAATATATATTCAACATTTTATTTTCTGTTTTTCTCAACATCCTCTATCTGTGATTATATTTTCGTCCCAAAACAAGAAATTATTTGTACTAATGTTGGTAGAATTACCAGCAACTTTGACAAAGCTCCTGGAGAGCGAAACGTTGCCACAATAAAATGTCACATTAGTTGCACTTTTGTCCTTTTACCTAACAAGAAATTTTTTTAATTTCTTTGAAAGTGTGGTGTGTATGGGGACTTGCGTGATTGTATTTTGTTCAAAAGCAAATACTTCTTGTATTTCCTTTCAAATGTATATGTGCGGGAACCTGTGTGACTAATTTTGTCTTATAACAAGTAATTCCTTGAGGGTGTGTGAGACCCTGTAGGATCATTGTTTTGTTCTAAAACAATGAATTCCTTACATTAGCTTGTAGGTGTAGTATGTGTGTGTGTGTGGGGGGGGGGGCCTTGCGTAATTATAATTACCTCCTAAAATAAGACTCCTTGTATTTCGTTGCAGGTGTGTGGCGTGTGTGGCGACGAGGCTCGCTCGATGCACTTCGGAGGCTTGGCTTGTGATTCGTGTAAGGCTTTCTTCAGGAGAGCCGTGGTCAGCAACATTTTCTCAAGCTTCGTGTGCTACATCGACCACCACTGTGCAATCACTGTGGACTCGCGCAGAAACTGTCAGGCATGTCGGTTAGTTACTATTCTTCAGCCCAGTCTTGTTAATGTAATTTAAAGCCTATCGACTATGTGAGGGCTATTAAGGTTACATGTAACCTATTCAATATCAGTCAAGAACACTTTAATCCCTAAAGTAGGGATTAATCTCTCAACATATCCAGTGAGACATTACTCATGGTGTACATATCCTGTAGTTATTTTATTCGTTATTAATCAGGACAAGGACCTCCTGACACGTGTCTTAATTATTTATATGATCTGTGGTTGTTATATATTCGCCAGCGCAGTCTTCGACGACTCGCTGGTGACCTGTGTTAATTTACTGCGATGTCTGAAATTTCCCCATCTATGAGATATAATATTCATAGGGAAGCTCATGCCCACAGGGGTTACAACGCCTGGGAAATGGGAGGCAATTAATTTTGATCCGAAGTAGGAGTGGCTCCATTTCCTTGGATTACGAGCCCTTGCACGTCACCAAGGCACATCCCTCGAAGGATAACCCACAACAGCTTTAAGAGCTCCCCCACATAAGAGTAAATCAAGGACACACTTTAATGTCACAGATTTTATGAAGATTCAAATGACATTTAACAAGTTTTTAATGACTCATTGAGCAGGTCATCACATGGTAACCCACATCAGGTGATTATATACACAGCTATCAGATCGCTAGCCCTCTCTTATGCCTATAAAATAATCTCTTGTTTTTTATTTGTTGGCAGGGGACGAAAACGAACGAGTGAATTTCAGCATATTCAAATGTTTCTAGTCTTATAATAGGAGAAAAAATTTTATTTAAATACTTTGGGTATGCTTCTAAAAAGAAAAAATCCTATATCCTTTTAGTATGATTCTAATAAGAAAAAATTCTATATGCTTTTAGTATGCTCCTAATAAGAGGACACAGAATCCACGCGCATTGGGGCAGTCACATTATTTTGACTTCTTCACTCTCTCCAGGATTACAATTTGTGTGGATTTTTTTTAGCTCAGGTTTAAAATGAATATGGTTGATGCTAGAGGCGTAGGGAAAATTGGACGGCTAAGAGTTCAATAATAAATCCCCCTAGTATCACACTTGAAGGAGCCGTAACTGGTGGAGACTTGAGCATGTATATTTACACCTGCTCCCCTTGTACACATATCAGTAAATAAGTACCTGATGAGAATTAGCTAACTGTTATGGAACGTATCCTATTGGAAATGGGTGGCAGTATGCCTTTTACAGGCTAGGCTTCACGAGATAGGACGAATTACGTTAACAGGTTTGAGCCTGTAAATTCAAAGATGTAATAAATAATTTTGCAAAAAAATAATCATGCTGGGTTTTAAAGATATTTTTTCAAGCCGTCAACTGAGATTATCTAATCTGCAAGGACATAATTATCATTTTATTTTTCTGGATATTTTATTTTTTATTTCATGTTGCCCCTTCATTTATCTTCATATTTCTTTGCGTTTTTAGTACCTGAAAGCACTGAGATGACGCAAAGAATCCGGTGAGGAATATGAAGCGATAAGATAAAAAATTATGCTTTGTCATGTGGCTGAATAAACAGAGGCTCTATGGTACATAGTGCATCAAGCAGTAATACTTTCTATTACACTGTAACAATCTTATCTAAATACATCAACATTTAAAGAGATGAAAAAGTGCAAGACAGATAGAGATAACTGAGAGTAATTTACTGTAAAATTGGTTCAAGTTTCCAGTTGGCAGTCCGCCGCTACTTCAAGCGACATTTGGCAGTGTTACTGTGTTGGGTGACTAGTGGCTCTCGAAGTCAGTCAGTCTTTTCTTCTTTTGTGTGTAACAATACCTACGTACTAACCCTACCTACTTCCTAGTTCCTTCTCTGGTACCTACAGAAGACTGGAGCTACAACCATTCCCCAGGTACTTACATAATAACCTTGTCGCTTGTACATTTTGAAAAAAGAACATGATTTTGAATTTGGGAGTTCACTGCTAAGCGAGATTATTGTCTTGAATTAAAATATTGTTACTCGAGTTATATGCTCAACTAATACTGGACCGAGGAATTAACGTAAGAAATTTTACAGTGTAATTCTTAATGTTTCCTCAATCTAATTTTCTTAGATATTTTTTAAACCCTGTCGGAAACCATTCTGAATCAGTGTGTACTAATAATATACCTTTTTAAAGATCAAACATATTTATTACAATTTTGAATTAGAGGTTTTTAAAATGTTTCATATGATTAAATTTGGGTGAGTTAACTTACAAATCTTTGGGCAATTTACAAACCAGATCAATTAAATTACATTTTTTTTCCATTATAACTTTGAAGGAATACAAGAAAACATAATGAATCATTACATGACAACTGTCTCGGATTAATATTAATCTGATTAGATATTTAGGGGTTAATATGTGTCAGTCAAATTATACAGATTCACACGGGTGTCTCTGAATCTCACTTAACCAATGTACAGCTGAAAAAGTGGAACTATGAGCCGACAGGAAATTTTTATCCTCTCAGTAGTCTGGTGATGACTAAAACTGAATACTCTAAGCACAATATACATCCCCCCCCCCCCACCCGTGGCTCGGTCTTAAATCAGACCTAAACTGGAAAGCAAATAATACCGAACTGTTTTGAAACAAAGGGAAAAATGATGCATTTATTAAATGTAAGTAGAAGTTTGTAAGCTATACCTGCTGTCTTATATTCTATATGATTTCTATACGGAGTGAATGTATACACCAGCGGAAGGCCTCTGTTAAGTAACCACAAGCTTCCTCCAGCATACGACCTAACAACAGTCTGTTAACTCTTACTGATAGGTGAACAGAGGCAACAGGTATAATATTTACTTATACGGTAAGCTCCATTCTGCCCAAGATACTACCCACAAGTTTTCTAACACTCAAGTACCTATTTACTGCTAGATGAACAGGGGCAGCAGGTATAAGATTTGCTTGTACAGTACGTTCCACCCTTCCCAAGATATTATCTACAACAGTTTATTAAAACTTAAGTACCTATTTACTCCTGGATGGACAGGGTCAGCAGGTGTACGGAGACTTTTCTATGCATATTGCCATTCCCAGGTCTCAAAACCATAGCCATGTGATGAATGAGACACATGCAACACCTGGGTACCTTTATTGTCAAAACGTTTCGCCAACCAGTGGCTTCATCATTTGGCTATATGGTGTTTGAAGGTGTTGAAACTGGTCACAGTAGAAGACGAGGTAATCAGTCCCCCAGCCAGGATGAAGGTATTTACCACTAGTCTTGATGAATCTGAAGCAAAGGTAGGAAGATGGTCGTTTATATAGGAGAGAGGAGGTGCAGCGACAATCTTAATGGCTACGCTTCAGATTCATCAAGCCTACGGTGGCGAACACCATCATCAAGGCTGAGGGACTGACTATGTCAACTTCTACTGTATCCTGTTTCAACACCTTAGAATACCTCTGGCTCGAATTGATAAGCCACAATTTAGTGAAACGTCTTCAAGAATCCAGATACCCAGGTGTTACACATGTGTCTTATTCATCAACTTGCCGGTACTATGAACCATTACTATTATCTTTGTCTGCCATGGCCATTTGTTTATGTTCCGAACACTATCATTGAACCACAAGTTTTCGTGTCGTGTTTACTTCTTCATTTTTCTTATCGTGCCAAAGACGTATAAGGCGTCACTCACGCCTTTGTTTAGATATCTGCAAGCGACTTAAAAATGCAAAAACTTTGCTGTAAAGCCATATGTATATTTATCTTTTGTTTGTCGTGAAGTTATAGTCATAAAAAAATAATAAAGTACATTGTTATTATGCAGTGTAAAGTAAAAACTCTTCAGTAAAGAGTTGTATCGAATAACTTTAAATTGTTAAATTAACCTTTGGATATTGCTGTATGGTGATCTATTGTTTTAATATCCTATTTAGCACCTTCCATCACAGAATATATACTGTACATCGATGTGCATTTCTCTCTGAGCATATACACTAATATCTTACTTTAATCCTTATTTTAAGGATTAAATTATTCTTGTGGTGAAAAGGTTACGTGATGATGATTGGCTTTAAACCCCTTTAACCATCTAACATATCGTCACATATGATGTGATCAAGAAAGGGTTTTATGAGGTGAACAGATAAGCCAGTGGAAGCTCTCGATCAAATGACCAGAGGCTACACCAAGTGGGTCATTAGATTACCAGAAGATACACTGAGTGGGTCATCAGGTGACTAGAAGATACACTGAGTGGGTCATCAAGTAACTAGAGGATACACTGAGTGGATCATTAAGTGACCAGAAGCTTAACTTACGCCTACAGCTTTCGTAAGATGGGAAAGGAAGAAGGATGGGTAAGGATAGAAATATGGAAAAAGGGTGGGTGGGGGAGCTGAGGTGGGATAATAAAGGTAAGTGGCCCAACCACTTCGGTGCATTTTCAGATATGTGTGTATGTATAATGTCATTAAGAAAATTATTGTTGAAAGGGGTATAACACCCATCAGTTTCACAGTGAAGATATATATCAATGATACACGTTAGGACATACACAGTGAAGATATATATCAATGATACACGTTAGGACGTACACAGTGAAGATATATATCAATGATACACGTTAGGACGTACACAGTGAAGATATATATCAATGATACACGTTAGGACGTACACAGTGAAGATATATATCAATGATACACGTTAGGACGTACACAGTGAAGATATATATCAATGATACACGTTAGGACGTACACAGTGAAGATATATATCAATGATACACGTTAGGACGTACACAGTGAAGATATATATCAATGATACACGTTAGGACGTACACAGTGAAGATATATATTAATGATACACGTTAGGACGTACACAGTGAAGATATATATTAGTGATACAGTGAATATAAATGAAACCGCCTGATATACAAATCTAGGTCAGCAATAGAAATAATTAGAAGTAAGGGTGGGAACCCTCTCATATGTGGTATTTTGCCAAGGAGGGGAGTTGGAAATGAATGGTTGTCCAGGGCAAATGGTGTCAATTGCTGGCTGGACAAATACTGTAAGGAAAATGCGGTAACATTCATTGACAACTGGGACCTCTTCTATGGAAGAAATGACATGTATGCTAGGGATGGGGTTCACTTATCTAGGTGTAGGGTGGGAGCACTGGCAACTGCAGTGGAGGGAGCAGTTAGGACTTTAAACTAGGAATAGTTAGTGGTATGGGTTTTGGCAGGAAAACAGTGAAGTCCCAGTGTAGTAATATTACGAGTTCTAGGGGAACTAGTAATAATAAGAACGAGATAGATATTGAAAAGCCAGGGACCTTGGGTGATAAGGACAGTAATAGGTTTAGTAGAAAAATAGAAATGAGCAGGAAGGGTAAAGAGAAAGGAGAGTCTTTCAATGTTTATTATGCTAATTGCCGTAGTGCTAGGAATAAGATGGACGAGTTGAGATTAGTTGCTAGTGTAGGTAACATTGATGTATTTGCCTTAACTGAGACGTGGTTTAATTCAAAAAGTCGGGACATGCCTGCGGAATGTCATATTCAGGGTTTTAAATTGTTCCAAGAAGATAGAAGTATTGGGAGGGGGGGGGGGGTGGCATTGTATGTCCGAGATCGCTTGAACTGTTGCATAAAAACGGGTATTAAGTCTGAAGTAACACATACAGAGTCTGTTTGGATAGAATTTTCAGAGGGGCATGAAAAACTGATTTTAGGAGTGATATACCGTCCCCCAAACTTAGATAGGGACCAAGGGAAACTACTATGGGAGGAAATTGTTAAGGCCACAAGGCACGATAATGTAGTAATTCTAGGAGACTTTAACTTTAGTCATGTTGATTGGAATTTCTTGACTGGGAACTTAGAATCATACGACTTCTTAGAAGTATTCCAGGATTGTTTTTTGAAGCAGTTTGTGACAGAACCTACAAGGGGAAATAACCTGCTTGACTTAGTTATGGCAAACAATGAATCCCTTGTTAATAATTTAGAAATTTCAGAGGAACTGGGTGCTAGCGACCACAAATCAATTACATTTAGCATTGAATGGAAGTACGATAGTAGTGATAACTCAGTAACAGTCCCAGATTTTCGCTTAGCAGATTACGATGGGCTTAGAGAACACTTATCATCTGTTGACTGGGGTAACGAAGAGAGCTATCAATATGACAAGTTTTCTGACCACTATACATGCTGCTCAAAGAGCGTTTATCCCATATAAAGAAATTAGATCAAATAGAAATGACCCAAAATGGATGGGCTCAAATATCTACTAGGGCATAAGAAAGGAATTTATAGGCGTATCAAAAGAGGTGAGGGTCATCTTATGAATCAGTATATTGACATTAAGAGGGACATTAAAAAGGGGATAAGAAAAGCTAAAAGGGACTATGAAATTAAAGTTGCTAGGGATTCTAAAACTAACCCAAAAAGTTTTTTCCAGGTCTATAGAACAAAAGTTAGAGATAAGATAGGTCCCCTTAAAAATAACTATGGGCACCTTACTGACAAAGAGAATGAAATGTGCTTGATTTTAAATAATTATTTTCTCTCAGTTTTTACACAGGAAGACACTAACAATATTCCAGTAATTAATTTTTACAGTGGGCTAGAAGAAGATAATTATGTAACATAACAGTCACTAGTGAGATGGTTGTGAAGCAGATAGACAGACTGAAGCAAAATAAGTCGCCGGGTCCTGATGAGGTTTTTTCAAGGGTTCTTAAGGAATGCAAAATGGAACTCTGTGAACCATTAACTATTTTTAATTTATCTCTTCAAACAGGTGTAGTGTCTGATATGTGGAAGATGGCTAATGTAACTCCTATTTTTAAAACAGGGGACAAGTCGATACCGTCAAATTACCGCCCAATAAGCCTGACCTCAATTGTAGGCAAATTACTAGAGTCAATTATAGCTGAGATTATAAGAAGCCATCTCGATAAGCATAGCTTGATTAATGATACTCAGCATGGATTCACAAGAGGCCGGTCTTGTCTAACTAATTTATTAACTTTCTTCAGTAAAGCTTTTGAGGCTGTTGACCACAATAAAGAATTTGATATTATTTACTTAGATTTTAGTAAGGCTTTTGATAGAGTTCCGCACCATAGACTGTTAAAGAAGTAGCAGCTCATGGCATTGGGGGAAAAGTGCTCTCGTGGATCGAGTCATGGCTCACTGACAGGAAGCAGAGAGTGTCCATAAATGGGGTTAAATCCGAGTGGGGATCTGTAACAAGTGGCGTTCCACAGGGATCAGTCTTGGGCCCGTTGTTGTTTATAATATATATCAATGATCTTGATGAGGGAATTACTAGTGATATGAGCAAATTCGCCGATGACACAAAGATAGATAGGATAATTGATTCAAACGTAGATGTTATGGAACTTCAGGAGGATTTAAACAAACTCTATTCTTGGTCAGAAAAGTGGCAGATGCAGTTCAATGTAGATAAATGCAAGGTTCTGAAGCTTGGGAGTGCCCATAACCCTAGTACTTATAAGTTAAATGATGTAGAACTTAGCCATACAGATTGCGAAAAGGACTTGGGGGTTATGGTGAGCAGCAACCTTAAACCAAGACAGCAATGCCTAAGCGTACGTAATAAGGCAAATAGATTACTGGGATTTATATCAAGAAGTGTAAGCAACAGAAGTCCAGAGGTCATACTGCAGCTTTATACATCATTAGTAAGGCCTCACCTAGATTATGCAGCTCAGTTCTGGTCTCCGTATTACAAATGGACATAAATTCGTTAGAAAACATTCAGCGTAGGATGACTAAATTAATACATAGCATTAGAAATCTTCCTTATGAAGAAAGATTGAAGACTCTTAAGTTACATTCACTTGTTAGACGAAGAATGAGGGGAGACCTGATCGAAGTGTATAAGTGGAAGATAGGTATTAATAAAGGGGATATTAATAAGGTCTTGAGGATGTCTCTCCAAGAGAGAACCCGCAGTAATGGATTTAAATTAGATAAGTTTAGATTTAGAAAGGACATAGGAAAGTATTGGTTTGGAAATAGGGTAGTTGATGAGTGGAACAGTCTACCTAGTTGGGTTATTGAGGCTGGGACTTTGGGTAGTTTCAAATCTAGGTTGGATAAGTACATGAGTGGGAGGGGTTGGATTTGAGTGGGACTTTCACATCAGAGCTTATTTCTTGGGTGGCATTGAAAATTGGGTTGGGCAAATGTTTTGTTAGTGGGATGAATTGTAAAGGACCTGCCTAGTATGGGCCAGCAGGCCTCCTGCAGTGTTCCTCCTTTCTTATGTTCTTATGTTCTTAAAACTCCAGATAAAGATAAGGATCGGAAAAAATAAACAATAACAAATCCCCCCAATTCAGATATTATGGTTTTGTTTAAATATTTATTACATTAATTATATTATCATATATAAACCACATGAGCCTTATCAGATACAGCAGGTAATGAATTGCTAATATTTGCAGGTTCGCCGGCTGCCTGCGCGCCGGAATGGAGGTGTCGTTGGCCAGACGGGAGGAAGAGGCTTCAGGGAAGCAGCAAACGGATCCCTTCTATCACCACCACCGTCTGGATCGAAGCCACAACCGCCTCCACAGCCACAATACCATCTACAACAGGAACCCGTCTCTGGACCCCAGCCTCCTGGGAAAGGACTTCACGCTGGGGACTAACACCACCTTCAGTCATATTAAAGGTCTCCACCCTGCGAGTGTCCACAGCTTCGGGGACGCTGAAACAAGTGGGATGTTTGTCCGTTCAGGAAACAAATCGCGTCCTCTCCTCAGCTATAGTCCAACCACTAGCCACGGTTTTCCTGCTAGTTTCATCCCCTTGGATGTACATGGCTGTCTTTCTAGCCAAGCGTACCTGGCTA